TTCAGCTACGTTATTCACGTAGCTGAAGTTGCGTACCTTAGTTCAAATTAGGGGGTTAGTGTACACCTGGTCTTAGAGATGCCATACAGGGAAAAACTGCTAGATTTAGACAGCCTGGATATGTCGGAGTGGAAAAAGAATAAGTCAGAGATGAAACCAAGACTACAGTCCTGAGTAAAAGAGACAGCAGCTGTGGACAACAACGGCACTAAGAAAGGGGAGAGATGTTTAGAGAAAACAGTTCAGTTTTGGCTACACTGTCAGGTTGAAGTGAGAGATGTATATACCATCATTGTTTGCAATGTTACTGTAGCTTGTTGGTCCTAGGATATGAGATACACAAGGTGGACTAGGCTCGAATGCTTGTCCATTCCACCAAGAGAAGTTAATCCAATAAAAGACATTACCTCACCTATCTTGTCTCTCTCAGATGCATATACATAAGGTGATGTAGAAAGATTTAGTCTAGATAGAAGGAGGCAAGTCTGAAGTAGCAACGAAGATCTGTAAATCTGCATAAAGATGATGACTAGAACCTTGCTTTTGAATTAGATCATCCAGATATAATGTGTAGAGGGGCAAGAGGAATCCAAGAGCCTTGTAGTACCCCCACTGAATGTTGGAGCAGGGACGAGGAGTATCCTGTGAACGAAACATTGAAGAACAGTCTCAGGTAAGAGGAGAACCAGTAGAGGACAGAGCTATTACAAGCCAAAGGAAGGACAAGATTTTTAAGAGCATGACTGATGTCAAAGTCAGTCAACAAATAAGAATGACAAAGATGGAGTACTTGTTTGTGAATTTTGGTGAGAACTAGTCAGATGAGTGTGTACAGGTAGATTTTGGCAAACCAGTAAAGTGCCTGAAACCACTATGGCTTATTGCTAAAAGCAACCTAGTCAGCAGTCTCAGCTTAACCAAGGCAGGAAGAGAGGGGGTTTTGGGTGCCACAGAAAGGGCAGCTTAACCCCGCGTCCTTCCTGATAAGAATTGTTGAAGTTGCTAATACATACATTTTAGAAGAGCCGGATGTGCCTCAGGAATGTCTATTCGGGCCTCAGGGCTGCAAACTCTGGAAAAACCCACACCTGGTTAATAAATAATCAGAAGTAACCTCTTGCTTGACCATTGAAACTGCTTACTTAACAAGTTTTCTTTAAGGGACATGTCATTCTATTACTAATGTATAAATAAGGGTGAAAAGTTTGAGGTAGTTGGACTCTTTTGGACTCTTCCTCTGGATACATCTTGCGATCCCCACCGGCAGAGGGGAGATTTGGCCATTGGAAGCCTGCCGCTGTATCACTCAAGAGCCGCACTCAGCTTTGGTAATTATCAGGGGTTTGGGGTGTTTTACTAACCTGTTGCGGACGTAAGTGCTTGAGACTAAGTAAAGTTTAGCTTTCAGAGGACAACACAAGAGTGCTTTCAGTTTGTGACAGCCATCTATCGGTCGGACAGTCATGTCTCACGATTTATTTCCTGACACCATCTCACACTGAGTAAAAGTTACCAAGAGCTTTGGGTTGAAAGAGCCCTGGGTAACAAGTGAAGTGGCCATTTCCCAAATTGGAAAGGGTCAAGGATGGAGTTGAAGGAAAGGAACTCCAGACAGGTGTTAGATGACATTCCATGATCTTAGAGATGAAATGGAGGAAGGAGATGAAGTGACAGCTGGAGAGGTGAGTGGGGTTGCGGGTGGGTTTTTATGCTATGTTGCTTGCAGCATTGGTGATCAACTGCATTTTACTCATCCCAAAATTTGCAATTGCATTTTGTCAAAGCAATTTTGTCAGAATACAACATTGTGCATTTCAGGTGCCAACACAGCATTACTAAGTATATCTTTGATAACAGACAGATACTTCGGGGCAAGGAGGCACTCTCAATAGTTTCAGGAGGCTCAGTGGAAAAGCTGGAGTTGCTGAAGAAAACATCAGAACTAAGACTTCATCAAAGTAAGGCAAAGTTGCTGGTCAATCAGTACATTCACCATTATGACAGTGGTTTTCAGCCTGTAGTCTGTGGATCCCTGGGGTCCACAGACTATGTCTAAGATTTCCAAAGGGGTCCACACCTCCATTTGAAATTTAGGGGTCTGCAAATGAAAAAAAGGTTGAAAACCACTGTCTGATGGTACTAAAATAGGATTTCAGATTACACTGTAAACATTGACAAATTCAGCATCACCAAAAACAAATCTCAAATCCAGAAGAATCAGGGACAGGCTACAGTCTTAACAACACCTCACCATCTCATTGTTTTTATCTAGCCACCCACTGAGAGTAGTTCATTTTGGTGTTGAGAGAGCGGCCCCAAAAGCTAAGTGCCCTGCTTTAAGTGATTGTACACAAAGGAACGTTCCACTGTTCACTAGTCATCACCAGGAGGAAGGGATATTAATTTCATAGGAACCTGCAGAACTGCCCTTTACAGTTTAATCACTGTTTTTAACTGGCACACAAGAGAACAGAGCTCCTTTCAATCCCCAACAGGAAATGCCATTCTGACACGTGACAGAAAACCTTCATTAACACTATTTATTAATAGCATCTCCAACCACTTCATTCAAAAGCTACTAGTATGACTAGCCAACCAAGAGCATCAGGAAACAAATCCACTGTCCATCTTCCCAGAAGGCAAGATATCAAATGTACACAGAGCACTAAGGAACGGTCATTTATAACGAAGTAGCACCTTATAGACAGTCACAGCAAACCTGCTACCAGTGGGTTGGGGGGTCATTTATCTACACCCCCCCCAACCCCAGCCCCAGAGACACCCCACTTGTGCGCCCCGCAGCCCTACCTGCTTCCCCACCCCTACAACCTCGAAGCCTCCGCTCCCCGCCCGGAACCTCCAGCCTCCTCCCCAACACAGCTCCGCTCCCCCTCGGCCCGGCTCCACAGCCACTCCCGCCCCCACACAGCCATGCAGCCTCGCCCCCCATCCTGTCAGCCCCCGCCTGCCCTGGGGGTCCCGGCCGATCTCCCACCTACCCCGCCAGGTTCCGGGACAACGGCCGCCTCGCTACCAGGATCCTGCTGTACCTCCCAGGCCGCTCGGCCTCGGCTCGGCCACTGGAAGCTCCTCCTCTCGCGAGAGAGGAGGGAGGAAACGGGAAAGGGGTGAAATATCGCGAGGTTTGCGCCGAACGCCAGGTATCGTGCGGGGGAGTGTAGTGGGTTTGCTGCTTTCCAGGCACTGCCCAGGCGGAAGTGAGGGGGGTGCGGGCGCTGCCTGGTGAAACCGAAAGCGAGGGCGAAGCCCGGGTCGAGGCGCGTGTCTGTCGCCTGTGTGACGTTCGGTGCCCCAGGGTGCGGGCTGGGGAGCCGCGTGCGCCACCAGGAGGTCACCGGTCCCATGGTGACGGGGTGGTGTCCAGAGCCGCTCGCAGCAGGAGTGGGACAGGCCGGGGGAGGAGATGGGGGCAGAGGCGGGAGGGGGAGGTAACGTGGGGGCGATGCAGCCGCAAGTGAGGGACGGAGGAGCGGGTGGGGGGAGGTGGGGCTGTGAGAGCGGGACCTGGGTCGCAGCACAGAGCAGGTTTTCCGGGGGATTCGAGCAGGCGCGTGGACGGGGGGAGATTGACGGGCAGGAACTGCCCCCTCACCAGTGGCGCAGCAGGTTACAGA